AGCATGAAAGGAAGAAATCAAATTGAAGTTTCAATGAGCACCCTTGAGAAATTTGATCAAAGAGAATATACTGCATTTAGCAGTTTCAATCTCCCTAAAGCATCAGCCATGCTGATCTCCCAGTCTTATTAAAATTAGTTTCTTAGGGCTAATTTATGTGGTACAGTCCACATTATGCATACATATGTTGAAGTTTAAAGGTCAGGCAATGTTAAATGAGGATATGATAGTAAGACTGATGTACACATGGAAGGTCCAGTGGATAGCTTCCTCTTTTTCATTTGAAGCATAAAGCACAAAGAACATTGACAAATAATGAATGAGAGAAACAAAGTCATACCCTTGACTTTCCGGTGAACTTGTCCTGTAGAATTCAAACAGATTCATCTCCACCAACATCGCTAAAGAACTTTTTCAGATCTTCAGAAGTTGGCTTAAAAAAATTTAAAACCATCAGAATTATCTTCTGTATTTGCCTATCCAGCATTAAAAAAGAATAAAAAGAAATCTCTCTCTGAAGTGCGAGAGAATCTCTACTTGCCCTAAAGTTAAGGTTTGATAAAAATGCAGTACACTTGTCAGTGTATCCTTTGGCTCTTCCAGTGGTGGAGTCTTTGATGTGCTGGTCATTTGGGTGCTCTTCAAACTTTGGTTTTGCTTCTGGTTCGTTTTCTTCAACAAAGTTTTGTGCTCGTCCCTTTTCTTTCCCATGCACTTTGTTTTGGTTTTGGGCAGTATTTTTCTGCTGCTTAGTCGTAGACTATTCGTCAGTCATGTTCGAATATGTTTTTCTTTTTCCATTAACACTTTTCTTATGTGACTTCTGTTTCTGATCTATTAGTTCAGGAACAAATTTGGCTTCTTGCTGTAACCTAAATAATTGCAGCTTTTCCAAGCGGGGTGTAACCTAAGAAAGGGAACAAAGACAAGCATTTTTACGCATTGAGTTAAAATAGCAAGGATTGCATACATTCAATAAATACTAAGCAGATGTATCATAATTCAGTGACATCTTTAACAATGTTACGTAACAACTTGACTTAAAAGCTTAAATTGATAGTTAAGCATCCAACGACCATACTTAAAATTTAAAACAATCTCGTGCGCTGAACACCCACAATCACAACCATAAATATAACATAAATACAAATACAAATTTATAATCTATATAAGAGCCTATTTGATATAAATTTTAAATAGTGTTTTATTTTCGAAAACAAGGACTAAGAGAAGTGCTAGCCTTGCAAAGACAAATACAAATGGACCATATAAAGACAACCCCTACCCTTGATCTTCATGATTTTTTTCTCTCTCTGTTTCTCTTTTTCCGTTTTTTCTTTGTTTTTTCCTTCACTTTGTAGCTTTCTTTGTATAAGTCTTTATAAGGATAGCATTTTTCTAAGGGATTTTATGAAATATGTTTTTATTAAAATAAGTTGAAATGTTTTCAAAACAATGTTTTTGCATATAATTCTAAAAATTAGTGTAAAACTAGAAAACAAGAAAAATATCATTTCTTAGTCTTTAAATAGTTTTTAACTTCAAAAACAATTTTTGAATGCCAAATATATTTTCAAATATTTAAAATATGGAGATAAAACATTAAAAATTTTTAATTGTAACTTAGTTTTTTAAAATTATTTTTGAATCACAAACCAAACTGGCCCAAATCTCATAAAGAGATTTAAAATACAAAATATATTTTCAAATATTTAAAATTTAGAGATAAAACTTTGAAATTTTTAATTGTAACTTAGTTTTTTAAAATTATTTTTGAATCACAAACCAAACTGGCCCAAATCTCATAAAGAGATTTAAAATACAAACATATTTTCACATATTAAATATATTTTCAAATATTTAAAATTTAGAGATAAAACTTTAAAATTTTTAATTGTAACTTAGTATTTCCAAATTATTTTTGAATTACAAACCAAACTGGCCCGAATCTCATGTAAAGAGATTTAAACATGAAATCAGGAGAAAACAAATCCTGATAATCTTTTTATTTCATTCTCTTAAACTAGATAAGACTTAGATAACTCTTAAATTGATCATATTCTAATCTAGAAATCCTACTGTAACAACTGCTGTAAGCTAATACAATGCATGCATAATAACAATAGAAAATTGGGCCCAAAAACTTTCTTTTCATTATAAGTCATATGTCTTTTATACACAAAGAGTATTGTTTACAAAAAAGTCATTTTAAAAGACAAAACAGGGGAAACAGTGTAGCTATTGCTCCTCGCTTGCCGACGCCCCTCCGACTGCATCAACACCTAGATCCTGCATCCACAAAGGAAAAATAACGGGGTGAGCACAAAATAATGCTCAGTAAGTACAACCAGCATCTTGTCTGTCCCGTAGTGATTACTCTCTAATTCTTTCCTTACACTGTTTCTGTTTCTATTTCTGTTTCTACTAAACGTCATGGCCTCATCTTACTGGAGGTACGGCCGGATGGCGTTCACACAGCACCATCTCACTCTCCATGACTGTCGGGTGGAATTCACACCGCACCAACCCGTTCTTAGCGTACCAAGTGGGGATCACAAAGCACCTACCCAGTTTTCGTAACTATGGGTGGAGACCACCTAGCACCTACCCGTTCTCGTGACTTTCGGGTAACGATCACCAAGCATTAACCCGTTCTATCACTGTCGGGTGATGATCACAAGCATCAACCACCTTCTAATAAATGTCGGATGATGATCACAAGCATCAACCCTTTTCTAATAACTAACGGGTGGTGGTCACAAGCATCCACCCTTTCGAATACTATCGAGTGATGATCACAAAGCATCAACCCATTCAAATGGCTATTCGGGTGGTGATCACAAAGCATCAACCCGATTCTCATAACGTGGGTGATGATCACAAGCATCAACCCATTTCACTACTCTTCTCATCACTTATTCTAGCATTTTTCATTTCTCACCCTTAGAGTAGTTGCATCACCAGTTTTCTACTCATAGAGTAATTGCATACACAAAGTTTCCTACTCTCTTAGGTCACTTTTCAATGCACAATTAGTGCCTAGGATGTCCATCTCCACTAATGCACTTATGAAATGCCAACATGCAATGTTGCAAGATTAAGGTTCACTACTCATATCAAACCTCTATTAGGCATTTCATCAAACAACTCAAGTGCATAATAAAACTCTACTATAACAATGATTCTAAATCTTTCTCTAACCATCCAAAATGGGGAGAAACCTCCTCACATAGCCACTAACCTGCCAAAGAAAGACACTTCCAAAAGGGTTCCACAATACCCTTCAATTCATCTCAAACTACCTTTCCAACCACAACTCACTTCTATATTTGAAAGGTATAAACAATCACAAAGCACTAGAAATCTCTATTTAAGCCTCAATAACATGGCATATAACATGTAATAACACACATACATAAGTGCTATCAAAATCCTAATCAAGAAAATTCCCAAATCTCAACTGGGTGGGGTTTACTTACCTTGTTATGGAGAGACTTCACTAACTCTTCCTTTCACTTGGTTTGCTTGACTTTTTCTCTACTCTTAAACAAAAGAACAAAAACCCTCAATATTCAATATATACTAAAAATCACAAAGCTTCACAACCAAAGCAAGAATCCTTACCTTAGGATGCCTTAGGTTGATTCTCTACCCCAAATCACTAAAACCCTTAAAAACTCCTTGATCAAAGAAAGAGAAATTGAGAGGAAGCAAGAGAGGAAGTGGTGTTAGAGAAGAAGAATGAGGGGTTTGCAATGTTAATTCCTTTTAATGAAATTTATACACAGCATTCCCATTTTGCCCTTACTCTTCTTTGGGAATTCATCTATATCCTTTGATTCATTACAAACACACCCCCATAGCCACATATTATCCATGAAAATTCCTTACATTTTACTCCCCACTTTTCCGCTAATTAGGGGTAGAATGGTCAAATTGCCCTTAGGGAAGAGAATATCTAAAACTTAACAAACATTTTGGTCGGACTGTCGCCGCGGCGAGGAAGCTTCTGTCGCCGCAGCGAAACTGTCCAGAATGTTTCCCCGTGGCTACAACACCTCTTCGCCGCGGCGAAGATTCTTCTTCGCCCCGGCGAAGCTTGGCACACTGAACTCCTTCTATTTTCAACCAATTTCAGGGCAAGTATTCAACACAACACTCAATCAAAGGTCAACCAAACAATATTACCAAGAAACCAACTCAAATAAGAGCAAAAGAAGAAACAATAACTACGTACCTCAAGTGAGGCGTTACACCTACACTCCCCCTCAAGCCAGTGAATAGATATTTATCATTCCCAGCTTGGAAACTAGATTAACAAACAGCTGTCTAGGCAGTCCTTTTGAACAATTGACCTGCTTCAAACTTGTTTTTCATCAAGTATACCAAAAATACTCTATTGTGATCATCAATAAACGTAATGAACCACTTAGACCCTACAATATTTGTAACTCTAGATGATATCACTATGAATTATTAAAAAAGCCTAGAACTCTTATATTTATGAGCTAGATAAATAGACTTGGTGTATTTTGCAAGTTGACAAGTTTCACCCTTAAAAGAAAATAAACTTTTTATTTCTGAATAACAATGGGTACAATTTTCGTAAATAAGGAAAGCTAGGGTGTCCTAGTCTACCCTTATATTAGCCTATTAGGTTTCAAAAAATACTCCACTACCTATGGTTTAAATGTGATTGCTTCATATATGCCATAATTTCATCAAAGCATCAGTAACTCCAAAGTTTAAAGTTAAAAAAATAAACGTCATGGATTTTCGACTAGCATGACGCCTACAAATACTGTCATATATCATTTACGTATGATTTGGAAAAATTATTCAAAATTAGATATTAAACCATTGTGATTCTGGTGCCTGAGTAACAGGTTGACCTATTGCAAGGCTACTATCTAAAAATATTCTCAGCTGCAGAGCATGATTCTATAGGATAAGAAAGAGAAAACGATGAATGGGCCAAACCAGATCTTAACCAGGCTCTCTCAAATAGCCAGAGCTGCAGCCAAATTTAGCTCCAAACGAGCCCAATAATCATACAAATGCAGCAAACCAGATGTATTCTTCATCTGATAAGATAAGTAATCTGATGTGCGCTGAAAAGGAGAAACTGCATAGTTAAGTATTCAAGTATCTATAATACATCCAATCATACAAAGCCTACAATTTCGAGTTCACTAAAGAGACATCAAGCTAATTGTTTATAAACACAAATATTGAAGACAACCATTACATAACAACGATGTACCAGTTGAAAATGACATGCCAATTTTATAAATTCACAAATCCATAAAGATATCTTTCGTGCATGCAACTTGAATGCTAATTGAGAAATTTTTTAGCAAAGGACACTATTCCATGAGAAAACAATTAACAAAGGTAACAATCTAGCAATTAGCAAAAGCCATCGTGGAGTACCGAGAATTATGCACTGTAATTTCTACATAAAGAGGTCATAATGGTACTATAACAACACACTAAATGAAATAAATTAATAGACTTTTCTTCAGAGTCTAAGGGTAGAAGCACTTGATATACATTCGTAAGAGATCTATGCCTGGACCCTAATACAGTGGACTAGCTACAAGGTCCACATTTTCTTCATCCAAAATTCACCATGAATAGAGCATCTACAAATGTCTTAAGAAGCTTCAAGTTCTTGACATCGAGTAAAAACAATTTTAACAAGGAAAAATGAACAGTATACCTATGCGAACCTGAAAGGTTTCCCTTATCAATGGAAAATTTAGTTCCTAATCTCTCTGTTTTACATAATCCATCAATGAGGGAATTCAAACCTTCAATGCTAACTGCAATCTTATTATTTACTAGAGCATTAAACATTTCCAATGCTTCCAAAACACATCCGTTCTTGCAAAGCCCATCAACGAAAATGCTATATGTCTAAGAATTAGGAAAAGTATCGTTAAGTCGCATCTTACTAACTAAATTCCGTGCATCTTTTACCATAGCTATACGAAAAAAGCCAGTTAACAAGGTGTTATATGTAATCACATTAGGCCTAATTCCTTCTAAAATCATCTCTCGATGAAGACTAAGAGCTTCATTAACTTCTTTATTCTTGCAATACCAGTTGATTAAAGTAGTGTAGTAAACAACATTAGGCCTATACCCTTTTCTAGTTATAGACTCAAACAACTCCCTTGTATCACCAATTCTACCGTTTATTAAAATGTTGTAAGTATAAATGTCAAGAACTACACCTCGCTGAATCTTATGTTCCAACAATAGTTGTCTAGCCTTCTCAACCAATCCAGCCTTACAAAGACCATCAATTATAGTATTATAAGTAACAACATCTGGCCTACAAATAACACCAAATTCTTTATTCCCATTAACCATCTCTTCATGAAACTTAATGGCAACACTTATTTTCTCTGTTTTACACAATCCACCAATCAAAGTGTTGCAAGTGATCACATTAGCCCTACAACCAACAGCAATCATTTTCTTAAACAATTCCATTGATTCCATAATCTTTCTCTCTACACACAGACCATTAATCAAACAAGTAAATGTCATGGTATTTGGGCTAAAACCCAACTTCATAATTGCCCCAAAAACCGCATAACCATCAGAAACCCTTTCATTATTACAGAAGCAATTCATCAAAATATTCAAAGATATAAAATTCGGAGACAACCCAGTTGAAGTCAATAGCTTGTAAAGCGAAATCACTTCATAATAATGCTTCTTCTTAGCTAGTGCACTAAACAAAGTAGTGAATGAAGAAATTGGAGAAATGGGTTTCATATTAATCATGTAATAAAAAAAGTACAATGCTTCATTCAGAGTAAAGCTACCCGATCGACAATTTTCTTTGAGGAATTTAGCAAGTGAGGATCGTTCAAGGGTTTTTTTTGAAAGAATACAAAACTTCATTTTTGGAGCTTGAAGACGTGAGGTTGTGTAAGTGAGCTAATAAAAATAAAACATTAACTTTTAAAGATGGGTTTTAAGAGATTGAAGATGAAAGAAATAGGGATGTCAAAGCCATGCATGTAGAGTGTTTTTTGAGGGTCGATTTTGAGGTTGTGTAACTGCATTTTTGTTGCAAAATGCAAATGCATTAAATTGATTAAAGAGAAATGTTTTGAAAAATTTCATAAACAACCTTCATGATTTCAAAAATTGTTCACTTAGCACCTTGAAGGTTAAAAATGTAAATCCACCTTTAGCCTTCAAGTGTTTTTCGGTTTGAGTTTTGAGCTGGTTTTCTACTGAATCCAGAATTATCCAATCGATCAAACAAAATGCAATCCATCAATTGGAATTTTTTTTACCTTTTTTATTTATAAATTATAAGATTTCAATAAATATTCTATTGAAGTTTGGATTTAATTTAGAATGACATTGAAAATATATTTTCCTTATAGTCTTATGATTTCACATGCTAGTACTAGTATTAAACGTACTGTTATGAATGAAAACTCTTCCTTTTTGTGGCATAGGAGATTAGGACGCATCTCCATTGATAGGATTAAAAGGTTGGTAAATGTTGGAGTTCTTGAAACTCTTGACTTTACTGACTTTGATACTTGTGTAGACTGCATTAAGGGAAAGCAGACTAACAAATTCAAGAAGGGTGCTAAGAAGAGTTCTGAACTCTTAGAGATCATACACACATATATTTGTTGCCCTGACATGAGCTCTAGTGGTCAGAAATACTTCATCACCTTTATTGATGATCACTCACAATATATGTATCTCTATTTGCTTTATCACAAGGATGATGCGTTGGATGCTTTCAAAATATATAAAGCAGAAGTAGAGAAACAATGTGGAAAACAAATTAAGATCTTGAGATTTGATAGAGGTGGTGAATATTATGGTAGATACACTAGTACAGGACAAACACTTGGTCTATTTGCTAAATTTCTTCGGGAGCAAGGTATTGTGGCTCAATACACCTTGCTTGGCACACCATCTCAGAATGGTGTAGCAGAACGGAGAAATAGAACATTAATGGATATGGTACGGAGTATGCTGAGTAACTCTAAACATCCTCATTCTTTGTGGATTGAAGCTCTCAAAACTACAGGGTATATATTAAACCGAGTTCCAACTAAGGCAGTTCCCAAAATGCCATTCGAGTTATGGAAAGGTTGGAAGCCAAGTTTATGTGTCTGGGATTACCTAGTTGAAGTTAGAGTTTATAATCCACAAGAACGGAAGTTAGATCCTAGTACTATTAGTGCATATTTTATTGGATATGTGGAAAAATCCAAGGGATATAAGTTTTATTGTCCGAACCATTCCAGTAGAATTGTTGAATCAAGAAATGCCAAATTTCTTGAAAATGACGTGGTCAGTGGGAGTGATCAAATCAGAGACTTAGTCCTTGAGAAAATTGATTTTTCAGCTAATGCTCCTACATTAAGTAAAAGATTGGTTGTTTGTCCAAAAAGGGTGAACAATGAGGAACCAATCAATCAAAGTCCACGTTCTGATGAGATTGTTTTAGAAGATCATTTTGAACAACCTCTGCTACAGGAGGAACAACTAGTTGTGCAATAGTCTCAACAAGAGACTATTGATACAACATTAAGAAGATCTACTAGAACAAAAAAAATCAACAATTCCTACTGATTATGTAGTGTATATGCAAGAGTCTGACTGTGACATAGGTGTTAAGGATGACTCAGACACGTTTTTACAAGTTATGGATAGTAATAAATCTTAGTTGTGGTATAATGTCATGATTAACGAGATGAATTCTATGACGAATAATAAAGTTTGGGACCTTGTTAAGTTGCCTACTAGAAAGAAACCTATTGGTTGTAAATGGGTATTTAAAACCAAAAGGGGTTCATTAAGTAAGACTGAGAGATACAAGGCTAGGCTTGTTGCCAAGGTTCACGCAAAGGGAAGGGATATATTATAAAGAAACATTTTCTCCAGTTTCTAAAAATGATTCCTTCCACATCATAATGGCATTAGTTGCCCATTTCGATTTAGATTTACATCAAATGGATGTGAAAACAACTTTCCTCAATGGAGATTTGGAGGAAGAGGTTTATATGAAACAACCTAATGGGTTCATTTCAAGTGATGGTGAGCATTTGATTTGCAAGCTTAAGAAGTCCATTTATGGACTTAAACAAGCCTCCCAACAGTGGTATTTAAGATTTCACACTGTTATCTCTTCATTTGATTTTGTAGAGAATGTCATGGATCGGTGTATATACCACAAGGTCAGTGGGAGTATAATTATCTTTCCTGTGTTATATGTAGATGTTATTCTACTTGCAACCAATGATTTGGGTTTGCTGCATGAGGTGAAACAATTTCTCTCTCAACATTTTAGTATGAAGGATAGAGGTGAGGCGTCTTATGTCATTGGCATTAAGATTCATAGGGATAGGTCTCAACATGTTTTGGGACTATCTCAGGAAACCTATATTAATAAAATTCTAGAGAGATTTAGGATGAAGGATTGTTCACCCCGTGTTGAACCCATTGTTAAGGGTGAAAGGTTCTATCTTAACCAATATCCTACACTTGAGATTGAAAAGGAACAAATGAAAACTATTCCTGATGCTTCAGCTATTGGAAGCCTAATGTATGCTCAAGCCTGTACTAGACTTGGCATTGCTTTTGCAGTTGACATGTTAGGAAGATATAAAAGTAATCCAGGTTTGGATCATTGGAGAGCTGCAAAGAAGGTCATGAGGTATCTTCAAGGAAGTAAAAGTTTCATGCTTACTTATAGACAATCCGACATTTTAGAAGTCATTGGATATTCAGGCTTAGACTTCATTGGCTGTGTTGATTTCCGAAAATCAACATCCGGATATGTTTTTATGCTAGCCGGAGGTGCTATATCTTGGAGAAGGGCCAAACAATCTTTGGTTGCCACTTCTACCATGGGAGCTAAGTTTGTTTCTCATTTTAAGGCCACTACACAGGGTATTTTGTTGAGAAGTTTCATTTATGGGCTTGAAGTTGTTGAGTCTATCTCTAGTCCAATAAGGTTGTATTGTGACAATTCAGTTGCTATATTCTTTGCCAAGAATAATAAGAGTGGAAGTCGAAGTAAACACATCAACATTAAGTACTTAGCAATAAGGGAGCATATTAAAGCCAAAGAACTGCTCATTGAACACATACATATCGAGTAAATGATTGCTGATCCTCTAACAAAAGGCATGCCACCAAAGACGTTCAAGGATCATGTAGTTCAAATGGGACTGTGTCTCACTTTGTCACTATGAGAGGTAATACTTTCATTCTCTGAAACTTCGTAATTTAGTTTGTTTTCTCTTTTAAGTTGTATACATTTTGGTTGGAGACAAACAAACATTCTGGAGGACCTGGAACAAACATTTGAGATTTGTTCATAAAATAATATTCCACATTTAAGCATTTATTTAGAAAGAGAAAAATTGCATAGTAATACATGGAAGGTAATACTTGTTTAAAAGGGACTTACCGCTATGATTCATGTAATTTTTATTTTTTTGATTAAACATATAGAATATACAACTCCTATGTTGTGGATTATATAATGAAAGTTGGGACCAAGTGGGAGAATGTTAGAATTTTAATTATATTAGAATTCTTTAATTGGATTGGTCCTACACTTTAATATAAAGTAAATGGGTAACTGCAGAGTAGTTACATGTGGTTGTTTCTCCTGGGCAATTGTCTTTGATGGAAAGACAACTGCATTTATACTGGGAGAGTTTATAGGTCCCCATTTTGATGCAATTAATTCATTTGATTCCAAAAACCATCGCTCTAGAAAATTGTAGTCAGTGAAGACTCTGTACTATGAAGTGACAGAAGCAAGAAGACTAAAACAACAATTGCTATGGTTGGAGGTTTGTAAATTACTTCCGTAATATTTCATGAGTATTTAACATATTTATAATTGATTATATTATGAACTTTTATATGAATGTTGGAATATAAATGTTTTACATTTAGTATCAGAGCGTTTATTTGAATTTCTGCCTAACATTAAATTGTTTGTTGCAAATTTGGAGAATATTGCATAAAATTGGGATTTTTCCATTTAAAACCTGTACTGTAAATCAAGCATAACTTTTATTATAAATAGAATCTGTTTTTGATTTTAGTGTCATTGGAATCCTTGTTGAAAAAGCTTTCCAATGATATATTATTTATCAAAAGCGGAGTTACGGTTGCAAAGTTATGCTAGTTTAAAGTTTCGGTTAAAATTATTGTTTGGGTGTTTTTGGTAGCCATTTACAACATCGATTTGGGGCAAAAATGTCATTTGGGGTACCACCGACATAGATCTTACGACCACATTCAAGTTTCCCCTCTAAAACGTCGAAAGAATGGCCAGAATCAGGCTGTTCAAAACTATAAAAAACGGGTTTAAAAGTTGTAGAAACTAGGTAAAGAAGACCCGGTCAAACCGGATCAACAGGTCAAATCGTCCTGGTCAAGGATAAACGCATCAAACTAATATAGTCAAAGTCAAAGGTCAACATGGGTCATAATTGTGTTTATAGAAACATATTAAGGAAAAACCTTATATTTTTTTTATAAGAAAGAGAAGTTTGTCAATTATTGTGCTATTCTAGTTAACATGTAACATGTAACCCTAGGAACAAACCTCACTTCTTAAGGAACATTTCTCTGAACTCATTATTTGACTTCAACTTCTAATCTTCCACTTCCCTGGATTTTGGATTTCTCGAGGGCACACCAAGTGGTCTAACATTCCTTGGCATTGCAAATGCGTTCCTCCCCTTCAGCTGAATGTTATCACTATGTTTATTAGCAGCACAGTGTGGCGCACTAGACTTCATGAAAGTCTGATTACTACTTTGCGCTGCCATTTAACCCAAAGGAGTAAGAAAATAAAATGTAGAAGTGGGAAACACAAACATTCAAACGTCTATAGACTGCATTGCACACACGCGCACACACACACACAAGTAATAACAAAGATAAAACCTAATTCCACTTAGCCTACCATGTTCTCCAGAGGCCCCATGACCAGCAGAATCCTTACTCTTTTGCTTCAGATTTGATCTTGCAATGCTTATCTTCTTCCCAACAAACATTTCTTTATTTTTTCCTACAGCTACAGTAAGGTGTGCATCATCGGCAAAATCCACATATGCCAGGCCCTTCAAAATCAACCAGAGGATATTATAAATTAGTATGCAATGGTTGGAGACATAGGGCAAGCTAGAATATGGGTAAATTTGTATGGGACTATGGTTGAGTCTCCTAGACATATCACTTGCAATCAAAATGAAAAAATATGCTCTTAGACAATTAGACTCTTTATACTTAGAAAATTAAGCAATTTTACCATAATTATGGAATGCAACCCTTCTGCATGTTTACTTGAGACTGCGTAATCGTTTTTGGAAAGGACATTCATCTTAAAACCAAAAGCGTAAGAACTAAATGATTTATTGACAGCATAGAAGGAATAAATCAAATTGAAGTTTCAGTGAGCACCCGTGAGAAATTTGACCAAAGAGAATACACTATATTTAGCAGTTTCAATCTCCCTGAAGCATCAGTCATGTTGATCTCCCATTCTCATTAAAATTAGTTTCTTAGGGCTAATTTCTGTGGTATAGTCCACATTATGCATACATATGTTGAACTTTAAAGGTTAGGCAATGTTAAATAAGGATTTGACTGTAAGACTGATGTGCACATGGAAGGTCCAGTGGATAGCTTATTGATCATATTCTAATCTAGAAATCCTACACTCCCCCTCAAGTCGGTGAATAGATATTTATCATTCCCAGCTTGAAAACTAGATTAACAAACAACTGTCTAGGCAGTCCTTTTGAACAATTGACCTGCTTCAAACTTGTTTTTCATAAAGTATACCCAACATACTCTAGTGTGATTATCAATAAACATAATGAACCACGTACACCCTACAATATTTGTAACTCTAGATGACCCCCAAATATCACTATGAATTATTAAAAAAGCCTAGAACTCTTATATTTATGAGCTAGGTAAATAGACCTGGTGTATTTTGCAAGATGACAAGTTTCACACTTAAAAGAAAATAAACTTTTATTTTTGAATAACAATGGGTACAATTTTCGTAAATAAGGAAAGATAGGGTGTCCTAGTCTGCCCTTATATCAGCCTATTGGGTTTCAAAAAATACTCCACTACCTATGGTTTAAATGTGATTGCTTCATATATAACATAATTTCATCACAGTATTAGTAACTCCAAAGTTTAAAGTTAAAAAAATAAACGTCATGGATTTTAGACTAGCATGACCCCTAGAGATACAGTCATATATCATTTACATATGATTTGGAAAAATTATTCAAAATGACATATTAAACCATTGTGATTTTGGTGCCCGAGTAACAGGTTGACCTATTACAAGGCTACTCTCTAAAAATATTCTCAACTGCAGAACATGATTCTATATTAAGAGTTCAAAAGATCTCCATAAATTGCCGTACTTGTTAAACAACATTTAACAACCTTGACTTAAGCCATTTGTCTAGTTTCAACTTCCATCAGCTGCAAAAAGCGAATAAAGAAAGAAATGTTTGCATTGCAGATGAAAAATATCAATTGATTAAATAAAGCTGCATCGTATACTACTAAAAGCAACAATTTTCCAAAAAAAAAAAAATTAGGAAAAAAACCAGTTTAGAAACATTCAAATTCAAATTATGTCCATAAATCAATCTAGAATAATAGAAAGCAAGTAATGTAAAAGAATTATACCTCTGAAGCGGTCCCACTAAATCTTTTACTGTAGCATCTTATGTAGATGGACCTAGCTTCGTTTAAATGTCCCAATTCAATTTCCATAGCTATATAACCTTGCTAGGCTTCCAACATTGACCTGCTGTACAGACAAAAAGCCAATTATATGGAAAAAATACAAAGATGAATCATAAATCAATCATGTTGAACTATACAGGATAAGAAAGAGAAAATGATGAATGGGCCAAACCAGATCTTAACCAGGCCCTCCCAAGCACCTAGAGCTACAGCTAAATTTAGCTCCAAACGAGCCCAATAAGCATACAAATGCAGCAAACCATCTGTATTCTTCATCTGTTGAGATAAGTAATCTGATGCGCCCTGAAAGAAAGAAACTGCACAGTTAAGTATTCAAGTATATATAATACATCCAATCACACAGAGCCTACAATTTCGATGGTACGCTAAAGAGACATTAGGCTAATTGTTTATAAACACAGATATTGAAGACATCCATTACACAACAACGATGTACCAGTTGAAAATGACATGCTGATTTTATAAATTCATAGATCCATAAAGATATCTTCCGTGCATGCAACTCTAATGCTGACTGAGAAATTTTTCAGCAAAGGACACTATTCCATGAGAAAACAACTAACAAAAGTAACAATCTAGTAATTAGCAAAAGCCATCTTGGAGTACTGAGAGTTATGCACTGTAATTTCTACATAAAGTGGTCATAATGGTACTATAACAGAGCACTAAATGAAGTAAATTAATAGAATTTTCTTCAGAGTCTAAGGGTAGAAGCACTTGATACACATTCGTAAGAGATTGATGCCTGGACCCTGAAAGAGTAGACTATTTACAAGGTCCACATTTTCTTCATCCAAAATTCACCATGAATAGAGCATCGACAAATGTCTTAAGAAGCTTCAAGTTCTTGACATCGAGTAAAACAATTTTAATAAACAAGGAAAAATGAACAGTATACCTATGCGAACCTGAAAGGTTTCCCTTATCAATGGAAAATTCAGTTCCTAATCTCTCTGTTTTACATAATCCATCAATGAGGGAATTCAAACCTTCAATGATAACTGAAATCTTATTATTTAGTAGAGCAATAAACATTTCCAATGCTTCAAAAACACATCCGTACTTGCAAAGCCCATCAATGAAAATGCTATATGTCCAAGAATTAAGAAAAGCATCGTTAAGTTGCATCTCAGCAACTAAATTCCGTGCATTTTTCACCGTAGCTATAAGAAAAAAACCAGTTAACAAGGTGTTATATGTAATCACTGACGGCCTAATTCCTTTTGAAATCATCTCTCGATGAAGACTAAGAGCTTCATTGGCTTCTTTATTCGTTCAATACCAATTGATTAAAGTAGTGTAGCAAACAACATTAGGCCTATACCCTTTTCTAGCTATAGAATCAAACAACTCCCTTGCATCACCAATTCTATCTGCTAGGCAATAACCGTTTATTAAAATGTTGTAAGTATAAATGTCAAGAACCACACCTCTCTGAATCATATGTTCCAACAATAGTTGTCTAGCCTTCTCAACCAATCCAGCCTTACAAAGACCATCAATTGTAGTATTATAAGTAACAACATCTGGCCTACAAATAACACCAAATTTTTTATTCCCATTAACCATCTCTTCATGAAACTTAATGGCAACACTTATTTTCTTTGTTTACACAATCCACCAATCAAAGTGTTGCAGGTGATCACATTAGGCCCACAACCAACAACAATCATTTTCTTAAACAATTCCATTGATTCCATAATCTTTCTCTCTACACATAGACCATTAATCAAACAAGTAAATGTCATGGTATTTGGGCTAAAACCTAACTTCATAATCGCCCCAAAAACCGCATAACTATCAGAAATCCTTTCAATATTACAGAAACAATTCATCAAAATATTCAAAGATATAAAATCCGGAGACAGCCCAGTTGAATTCAAAAACTTGTAAAGCGAAATCACTTCATAATAATGCTTCTTCTTAGTTAGTGCACTAAACAAAGTAGTGAATGATGAAATTGGAGTAATGGGTTTCATATTAATCATGTAATAAAAAAAAGTACAATGCTTCATTCAGAGTAAAGCTTTGAGGAATTTAGCAAGTGAGGATTGTTCCAGGGGTTTTTCCGAAGAATACAAAACTTCATTTTTTGAAGCTTGAAGACGTGAGGTTGTGTAAGTGAGCTAAAAAAATAAAACATTAACTTTTAAAGATGGGTTTTTAGAGATTGAAGATGAACGAAATAGGGATCTCAAAGCCATGTATGAAGAGTGTTTTTTGAGGGTCGGTTTTGAGGTTGTGTAACTGCATTTTGTTGCAAAACGCAAATGCATTAAACTAATTAAAGGGAAATGTTTTGACAAATTTCATAAACAACCTTCATGATTTCGAAAACTGTTCACTTAGCACCCTAAAGGCTAAAAATGTAAATCCACCTTCAGCCTTCAGGTGCTTTTCGGTTTGAGTTTTGAGTTGGTTTTCTACTGAATCCAAAATTATCCAGTCGATCAAACAAAATGCAATCCATCAATTGGAATTTTTTTTACCTTTTTTATTTATGAATTATAAGATTTCAATAAATATTCTATTGAAGTTTGGATTTAATTTAGAATGATATTAAAAATATATTTTCCTTATAGTCTTATGACTTCACATGCTAGTACTGGTATTAAACGTACTGTTATGAATGAAAACTCTTCTTTTTTATGGCATAGGAGATTAGGACACATCTCCATTGATAGGGTTAAAAGGTTGGTAAATGTTGGAGTTCTTGAAACTCTTGACTTTACTGACTTTGATACTTGTGTAGACTGCATTAAGGGAAAGCAGACTAACAAATCCAAGAAGGGTGCTAGGAAGAGTTCTAAACTTTTAGAGATCATACACACATATATTTTTTGCCCTGACATGAGCTCTAGTGGTCAAAAATACTTCATCACCTTTATTGATGATCACTCACGATATATGTATCTCTATTTGCTTTATCACAAGGATGAAACGTTTGATGTTTTCAAAATATAGAAAGTAGAAGTAGAGAAACAATATGGAAAACAAATTAAGATCGTGAGATCTTATAGAGGTGGTGAATATTATGGTAGATACACTAGTACAGGACAAGCACTTGGTCCATTTGCTAAATTTCTTCAAGAGCAAGCTATTGTGGCTCAATACACCTTGCTGGGCACACCATCTCAGAATGGTGCAGCATAATAGAGAAATAGAACATTAATGGATATGGTACAGAGTATGCTGAGTAACTCCAAACTTCCTCATTCTTTGTGGATTGAAGCTCTCAAAACTACAGCTGTTCCCAAAATGCCATTCAAGTTATGGAAAGGCTGGAAACCAAGTTTACATCATTTACGCGTTTGGGGTTGGCCAGTTGAAGTTAGAGTTTATAATCCATAAGAACGGAAGTTAGATCCTAGGACTATTAGTGCATGTTTTATTGGATATGCGGGAAAATCCAAGGGATATAAGTTTTATTGTCCGAACCATTCTAGTAGAATTGTTAAATCAAGAAATGCCAAATTTCTTCAAAATGACGTGGTTAATGGGAGTGATCAAATCATAGACTTAGTCCTTGAGAAAATTGATATTTCAGCGAATGCTCCTACATCAAGTAAAAGACTGGTTGTTCATCCAAACAGGGTGAACAATGAGGAACCAATCAATCAAAGTCCACGTTCTGATGAGATTGTTTTAAAAGATCATTTTGAACAACCTCCGCTACAGAAGGAACAATCAGTTATGCAACAGTCTCAACAAGAGACTATTGATACAACACTAAGGAGATATATTAGAACAAAGAAATCAACAATTCCTACTTATTATGTAGTGTATATGTAAGAGTTTGACTATGACATGGGTGTTGAGGATGACTCCGACAAGTTTTTACAAGTTATAGACAGTAATAAATCTTAGTTGTGGTATAATGCCATGATTGGCAAGATGAATTCTATGACGAATAATAAAGTCTGGGACCTTGTTAAGTTGCCTACCAGAAAGAAACCTATTGGTTGTAAATGGGTATTAAGAGATACAAGGTTAGGCTTGTTGCCATGGTTAACACAAAGGGAAGGGATAGATTTTAAAGAAACGTTTTCTCCAGTTTCTAAAAAGGATTCCTTTCGCATCATAATGGCATTAGTTTCCCATTTCGATTTAGATTTACATCAAATGGATGTGAAAACAGCTTTCCTCAATGGAGATTTGGAGGAAGATGTTTATATGAAACAACCTGATGGGTTCATTTCAAGTGATGGTGAGCATTTGTTTTGGAAGCTTAAGAAGTTCATTTATGGACTTAAACAAGCCTCCCAACAGTGGTATTTAAGATTTCACACTGTTATCTCTTCATTTGATTTTGTAGAGCATGTCATGGATCAATGTATATACACAAGGTTAGTGGGAGTATAATCATCTTTCTTGTGTTATATGTAGATGATATTCTACTTGCAACCAATGATTTGGGTTTGCTGCATGAGGTGAAACAATTTCTCTCTCAACATTTTAGTATGAAGGATAAAGGTAAGACGTCTTATGTCATTGGCATTAAGATTCATAGGGATAGGTCTCAACATGTTTTGGGATTATCCCAGGAAGCCTATATTAATAAAATTCTTGAGAGATTTAGGATGAAGGATTGTTCACCAGTGTTGAACCCATTGTTAAGGGTGACAGGTTCAATCTTAATCAATGTCCTACATTTGAGTTTGAAAAGGAACAAATGAAAACTATTCCTTATGCTTCAACTGTTGGAAGCCTAATGTATGCTTAAATCTGTACTAGACCTGACATTGCTTTTGTAGTTTGCATGATAGGAAGATATCAAAGTAATCCAGGTTTGGATCATTGGAGAGCTGCAAAAAAGGTCATGAGGTATCTTCAAGGAACTAAAGGTTTCATGCTTACTTATAGACAGTTTGACATTTTAGAAGTTGTCGGATATTCAGGCTTAGACTTCACTGGCTATGTTGATTCCAGGAAATCAACATCCGAATATGTTTTTATGCTAGCGAAGGTGCTATATCTTGGAGAAGTGCCAAACAATCTTTGGTTGCCACTTTTACCATGGGAGCTAAGTTTGTTTCCAGTTTTGAGGCCACTACACAGGGTATTTGGTTGAGAAGTTTCATTTTTGGGCTTGGAGTTGTTGAGTCTATCTCTAGGCCAATAAGGTTGTATTGTGACAATTTAGCTGCTATATTCTTTGCTAAGAATAATAAGAGTGGAAGTCAAAGTAAACACATCGACATTAAGTACTTAGCAATAAGGGAGCACATTAAAGCCAAAGAAGTGCTCATTGAACACATACATACCGAGTAAATGATTGTTGATCCTCTAACAAAAGGCATGCCACCAAAGACGTTCAAGGATCATGTCATTCAAATGGGACTACGTCCCGCTTTGTCACTATGAGAGGTATTACTTTCATTCTCTGAAACTTTGTAATTTAGTTTGTTTTCTCTTTTAAGTTGTATAAATTTTGATTGGAGACAAACAAACATTCTAGAGGACCTAGAACAAACATTTGAGGTTTGTTCATAAAATAATATTCCACATTTAAGCGTTTATTTAGAAAGAAAAAAATTGCATAGTAATACTTGTTTAAAAAGGACTTACCGCTATGATTCTTGTAATTTTTATTTTTCTGATTAAACATACAGAATATACAACTCCTATGTTGTGGAATATATAATGAAAGTTTGGACCAAGTGGGAGAATGTTAGAATTTTAATTATATTAGAATTCTTTAATTGGATTGGTCCTGTACTTTTAATATAAAGTAAATGGGTAACTGCTGAGCAGTTACATGAGGTTGTTTCTCCTTGGTAATTGTCTTTGATGCAAAGACAACTGCATTTATAATGGGAGAGTTTACAGGTCCCCATTTTGATGCAATTAATTTATTTGATTACCAAAAACCATCGCTCTGGAAAATTGCAGTCAGTGAAGACTCTGTATTATGAAGTGACAGAAGCAGGAAGACTAAAGCAACAATTGCTATAGTTGGAGGTTTGTAAATTACTTCTGCAATATCTCATGAGTATTTAACATATTTATAATTGATTATATTATGAACTTTTATATGAATGTGGGAATATAAATGTTTTACATTTGGTATCAGAGCATTTATTTGAATTTCTGCTTGGCATTAAATTGTTTGTTGCAAATTTGGAGAATATTGCATTAAAATGGGATTTTTCCAATTAAAACCCGTACTGTAAATCAAGCATAACTTTTATTATAAATAGAATCTTTTTTCAATTTTGGTGTCATTGGAATCCTTGTTGAAAAAGCTTTCAAATGACATATTATTTGTCAAAAGCGGAGTTACGGTTGCAAAGTTATGCTAGTTTAAAATTTCAGTTAAAATTATCGTTAGGGTGTTTTTGGTAGCCATTTACACCGATCTGGGATGAAAATATCATTTGGGGTGCCACCGATAGAGGTCATACGTCCACATTCAAGTTTACCCTCTAAAACGTCAAAAAAAATGGCCAGAATCAGGTTGTTCAAAACTGCAAAATACAGGTTTAAAAGTTGCAGAAAACTGGTAAAGAATACCCGATCAAACTGGATCAGCAGGTCAAATCGACCTGATCAAGGATAAAATGTGTCAAACTGACCCGATCAAAGTCAAAGGTCAACATGGGTCATAATTGTGTTTACAGAAACATATTAAGGCAAAACCTTATGTTTTTTTATAAGAATGAGAAGTTTGTCAATTACTATGCTATTCTGGTTAATATGTAACATGTAAACCCTAGGAAAAACCTCACTTCTTAGGGTCTGCTTGAGAGTTTTTTTTTTTTTCACTGGTTTTGGGGGTTTTCTAAAACCATTACTTGCCAGATTTTTTATGGACTGGTTTTAACTGGTTTAAAAACCCCCCAAAACCAGTGTAGTATATTTTTGAGGGGTTTATAAAACACCCCAAATTGGGGTGTTTTGGCTGGTTTAAAAATTTTATCCCAAAAAAACCCCTTTCAACTATTATTTTTCTAAACAGTTCTATTTCAAAGTTTGCTATTCTTGGATATGAATTGGGTTATTCAATGGAAAACCCAAACTCATTGGTAATGTGGGAAGCTCAATTTGGCTTCTTTTGCATATATTTTCAGCAAATCTAGTTGTTGAGTGGAAGTCAAATTACCAAGTATGCTAATCGTGCCAGCATAACGAATGTCATCAACTAAATTACATACTTTATTGAGCACATACAAATAAATTAAATAATATACAATGAAAGAACTTACAAATAAATTAAACTTGGAAGGAACTTTGATACTAAGTATTGGTAATTGAAAAAAAAAATCCCAAGTACTGGTTGAAGTTGGGGTATTTTTATGGGCATATATGTAAATTTATCATTTTAAAAAACTGTCAAAACCGCTGGAAAATATACTCCCAAGCACAGGTTGAGTGTTTTAAAAACCGCTACTAAAAACCCTTCAAAACTGCTACAGTGGTTTACTCTCAAAACCGCTACGATGGTTTACCCTCATAACCGCCACCATAAAACTCCCAAACAGACCTTTAAGGAACATTTCTCTGAACTCATTATTTGACTTCAACTTCTCATCTTCCACTTCCTTGGATTTTGGATTTGTCGAGGGCTCATCAAGTGGTCTGACATTCCTTGGCATTGCAAATGTGTTCCTCCCCTTCAGCTGAATGTTATCACTATGTTTATTAGAAGCACAATGTGGCGTTCTAGACTCCTTGAAAGTCTGATTACTACTTTGCGCTACCATTTAACCCAAAGGAGTAAGAAAATAAAATGTAGAAGTGGGAAATACAAAATGCAAATGTCTATAGACTGCATTACACACAAACACACACAAGTAATAACAAAGATAAAACCTAATTCCACTTAGACTATCATGTTCTCTAGAGGCCCCATGACCAGTAGAATCTTTTCTCTTTTGCTTCGGATTTAATCTTGCAGTGCTTATCTTCTTCCCAACAAACATTTCATTGTTCTTTCCTACAGCTGTAGTAAGGTGTGTATCATCGGCAAAATCCACATATGCCAGGCCCTTCAAAAATCGACCAGAGGATATTATAAATTAGTATGCAACGGTTCCAGACATAGGGCAAGTTGGAATATGGGTAAATCCATGTGGGACTATGCTTGAGTCTCCTAAGCATATCAGTTGCCATCAAAATGAAAAAATATGCTTTTAGACAATTAGACTCTTTATACTTAGAAATGTAAGCAATTTTACCATAATTATGGAATTCAATACTTAGATGATTAAGCAATTTTACCATAATTATGGAATTCAACCCTTCTGGAGGTTTATTTGAGACTGCATAATCGTTTTTGGAAAGGACATTCATCTTAAAACCAAAAGCATAAGTACTAAATGATTGATTGACAGCATGAATGGAAGAAATCAAATTGAAGTTTCAGTGAGCAGCCTTGAGAAATTTGATCAAAGAGAATACACTACATTTAGCAGTTTCAATCTCCCTAAAGCATCAGTCTTGCTAATCTCCCAATCTCATATAATTAGTTTCTTAGGGCTAATTTCTTTGGTACAATCCACATTATGCATACATATGTTAAAGTTTAAAGGTCAGGCAATGTTAAATAAGGATTTGACTGTAAGACTGATGTGTACATGGAAGGTCTAGCGGATAGCTTCCCCTTTTTCATTGGAAGCATAGGGCACAAAGAACATTAACAAATAATGAATGAGAGAAACAAAGTCATACCCTTGACTTTCCGGTGAACTTGTCCTGCAAAATTCGAACAAATTCAACCCCACCAACATCGCTAAAGAATTTTTCAGATCTTCAGAAGTTGCCTTAAAAAAAAGTAAAACCATAAGAATTATCTCTCTGTATTTGCCTATCTAGCATTAAAAAAGAATAAAAAGCAATCTCTCTTTGAAGTACGAGAGAATCTCTACTTGCCCTGAAGTTATGGTTTGATAAAAATGCAATACACTTGTCAGTGTATCCTTTGGCTCTTCCAATGGTGGAGTCTTTGATATGCTGGTCATTTGGATGCTCTTCAAACTTGGGTTTTGCTTCTACTTCATTTTCTTCAGCTAAGTTCTATGCTCATCCCTTTTCTTTCCCATGCATTTTGTTCGGGTTTTAGGCAGTATTTTTCTACCGCTTAGCTGAAGACTGTTCGTTAGTCATGTTCGAATCTGTTTTTCTCTTTCCATTAACACTTTTCTTATGTGACTTCTCTTTCTGATCTATTAGTTCAGGAACAGATTTGGCTTCCTGCTGTAACCTAAATAAATGCAGCTCTTCCAAGCGAGGTGTAACCTGAGAAAGGGAACAAAGACAAGCAGATTTACGCATTGAGTTAAAATAGCAAGGATTACATACATTCAATAAATACTAGGCAGATGTATCATAATTCAGTGACATATTTAACAATGTTACGTAACAACTTGACTTAAAAGCTTAAATTGATAGTTAAGCATCCAACAACCATACTTAAAATTTAACACAATCTCGTGCGCTGAACACCCCACAATCACAACCATAAATATAACATAAATACAAATACAAATTTATAATCTAAATAAGAGCCTATTTGATATAAATTTTAAATAGTGTTTTATTTTCGAAAATAAGGACTATAAGGAATTTTATGAAAATACGTTTTTATTAAAATAAGTTGAAATGTTTTCAAAACAATGTTTTTGCATATAATCCTAAAAATTAGTGTAAAATTAGAAAACAAGAAAAATATCATTTCTCGGTCTTTATATAGTTTTTAACTTCAAAAATAATTTTTGAATACCAAATATATTTTCAAATATTTAAAATGTTGAGATAAAACTTTTAAAATTTTTAATTGTCACTTAGTTTTTCAAAATTATTTTTGAATCACAAACCAAATTGGCCCAAATCTCATAGAGAGATTTAAACACAAGACTGTGTGGACCACCTTGTTACAATACTCTATTAAGTTATCACTTAAACTAAAAATTTAAACAGATAGGCAATGATCCACCAATAATATTTAAGCTCTAACAAGAAAGAAGCAAAGAGTTCATAATATGTACAGAGGCACATAAACACAACTCATTTACAGGCACATCATTTGAGGTCATCAAAGACAACTGCTAATGTGGCACATTTCAGTCAAACACATATGGTTACTAGATAAGGTGGACATCGCAACCAGCTAAAATATCATTAGTTAAACACTTCAATTGTTTTTAATAAATCTATACATACTAATTCTCAATAGCAATGCAAATGCATCATACACATTAGACTGAAAAAAGAAATACGTGATTAATTGGCACTTAAAACAAATAAATTAAAATTGCAGCAGAAATGTGTACCTTCTGTGCTGTGTGGTCAAAATCTTCAAGTGTCCCGTATTCCCTCTCAAAACGCAACCAGTTGTGGCATATGTCCTGAATAACTCAGTTTTTTAGGAAAAGAATATGTCAACAAATCCAAAAGGCAGTACATAACAATTGAAGAAAGTCACTCTGGAGTTGTGGACCCAAAACAATATTTTCAATGTCATAAAATCAAGAAGCAAAAATTGTCAGTAACTTTAGATGACGTAGTGAGATCATCAATGAGATCATAAAATATGAATGGAAGCGGGAGCGGGAGTAGGAGTAGGAGCAGGAGCAAAGAGTTGGGAAACAATCCGATTAAATATAATAAGGCCAATCAAGATAAGATGAAAATAACAAGGTTAACTTTATCAAACTAAACCCTAAATTGATCATAGAAAAGAGAGAACTTAGATGACTTTATGATAGGTCATATAAATTATCTACTTCAATAAGTTTTATTTAACCTATAGCATATTTTGACATGAAACTCGGAAAGTAAAGCTTGAATTAAGAAACTTTTCTTCAAACATATTGGAAATAATAAGCCAAGTGGAAAAACATAGCAGCCCATTGTGTTTCAAAAACTACTCTGCTACCTATGGTTTAAATGTGATTGCTTCATATATGCCACAATTTCATCAGAGTATCAGCAACCCTAAAGTTTGAAGTTAAAAAAATAAATGTCATGGATTTTCAACTAGCACGATCCCCAGAGATACTGTCATTTATCATTTACGTATGATTTGGAAAAATTATTCAAAATGACATATTAAACCATTGTGATTCTGGTGCCCGAGTAATAGGTTGACCTATTACAAGGCTACTTTCTAAAAATATTCTCAGCTGCAGAGTATGATTCTATGTTAAGAGTTCAAAAGATCTCCATAAATTGCCCTCCTTGATAAACAACATTTTAACAACCTTGACTTAAGCCATTTCTCTAGTTTCAACTTCCATCTGCAACAAAAAGAGAATAAAGATAGAAATGCTTGCAGTGTAGATGAAAAATATCAATTGATTAAATAAATCCACATCATATACTACTAAAAGCAACAATTTTCCAAAAAAGAAAAAAAAATGAGAAGGAAGGAGGAAAAAACCAGTTTAAAAACTTTCAAATTCAAATCCTATCCATAAATCAATCTAGAATAATTGAAAGCAAGTAATGTAAAAGAATTATACCTCTGAACCTGTCCCACTAAATCTTTTTACTGTAGCATCTCTTGTAGATGGACCTAGCTTCATTTAAATGTCCCAATTCAATTTCCATAGCTATATAACCTTGCCAGGCTTCCAACGTTGACCCGCTGCATAGACATAAAGCAAGTTATACGGAAAAAAAATAAAAAGATGAATCATAAATCAATCTTATTGAACTATACAGGATAAGAAAGAGAAAAAAGATGAATGGGCCAAACCAGGCTCTCCCAAAAGCCCCAAGCTCCAACTTGATCTTTTCCCAAATTTAGCTCCAAATGAGCCTATAAGCGTACAAATGCAACAAACCATCTGTATTCTTCATTTGTTGAGATAAGTAATCAGATGCCCGTTGAAAGGAAGAAACTTCACAGTTAAGTATTCAAGTATATATAATACATCCAATCATACAGGGCCTACAATTTCAATGGTACACTAAAGAGACATTAGGCTAATTGTTTATAAACACAAATATTGAAAACAACGATTATACAACAACAATGTACCAGTTGAATATGACATGCAAATTTTATAAATTCACAGATCCATAAAGATATCTGCCATGCATGCAACTCGAATGCTGAATGAGAAATTTTTTAGTAAAGGACACTATTCCATGACAAAACAATTAGCAAAGGTAACAATCTAGCAATTAGCAGAAGCCATCTTGGAGTATTGAGAGTTATGCACTGCAACCTCTACATAAAGTGGTCATAATGGTACTATAACAGCACACTAAATGAAGTAAATTAAAATACTTTTCTTCAGAGTCTTAAGGGTAGAAGGAGTTGACACACATTCGTAAGAGATCTATGCCTGGACCTTGAAAGAGTAGACTAGCTACAAGGTCCACATTTTCTTCATCTAAAATTCACCATGAATAGAGCATCTACAAATGTCTTTGAGAAGCTTTAAGTTCTTGACATCGAGTAAAAACAATTTTAACAAGGAAAAATGAACAGTATACATATGCGAACCTGAAACGTTTCCCTTATCGATGAAAAATTCAATGCATCCTCTTCTACTCTAGGCAAAAGGATTCTTTGTCTCAAACCATCCACTCGAGTGAGGAATAAGTTTAGGTACTGAAAATAAAAGGATCCAATTAACAAAGATCTTTAATGCATAAAAACGTAGATGAAACAATAACAAGTTACAAAGAGTAGTAAGTCAAGCTTGCAAATTAGAGAAAATATATCTTTACCTCCTCAATGGTCGAAAAAGTGCATAGAAGGGACTTCTCAAAGACTTTAATATGATACAAAAATCTTTCTAAATAAGAGTAAACCTTTATATTTGTAAAAGGAGCAGAATGAAATTCCAACACTAAAGTTTGTGAAACTTCACTGCTCTTAAGTTACTTATAACAATCTCTCATAATTCTCAATAGATGAAGGGTAACAACTGAAACTTTCAATAGATATCTCTTTCTCAGATGCACGGCAACGTTCCAAAGCAAGCAAAGATCGAACCCAAAGATCACCAACCTAAGGACAATTTTTCCTAGCCCTGGAATGAACATCTCGTACAATATTTCCTAGCTGAAGGAAAAAGAGATGATTAATTGCTAAAATTAAAAATACCTGGAACATAAAGAATTGAAAAGATAAAATATGAGTGAAACCTTCAAGGTTTTATCCAAATAGCGAGTATAGCCAAGCCAGAGATCACTTGATACAGGAAACTCGGTAATAGCACGTTCATAGAGAAATGGAACACGGGCTGGATCTCCAGAAGACTGTTCAAACTTCAAGTAGATCTGCCAAAATTTAAAATTAAAATAATAGCATTAACACTTTAACGAAGGAAAAACAAAAAAAAGGCAACCTATTGCCGCATTGCAAGTTCTTATACAACCCTCCACCCTCAAGAAAAGAAGAAGAAGAAGAAGAGAAGATCTAAAGTTTACATAAATTGATTACTTATATTAGAAGCAAGAGAGACCATAAGAAATTGAAATTATAATGGAATTTCAATAGCAACTTTGTTGATAAACAACTTGACCTAAAAGCTTAAGCTTGAAAAGGTAAGGGCACAACAATGATATTCAGCTTTGTAACAGGCAACTTCACATGTTACATAAACCAAGCCCAAATTCAGACAGAAAGACTAAGCGCGAACCCTAACAACGTACTTAACCCCAATATAGATACGGGATGTAATAGATGGGGACTCAAATATGACCTCTACACTTAATATCATCATCATACATTCATTAACCCTAAATTCTTAAGGTATCACATAAGAACCGCAATTATCATTAGCTGCCTAAAACAATATCTGATATAAATGCCATACGTGAATTGTTGAAATTTTCGGAGTCAGATATACCCGCCTTGCAACCTTCCTTCAAATCAGCTCAGAGCATTATACATCTCCATGCCTTTGGTACTGAGCACAGTAGAAGGAATCCCATCTAAATCACCTGATTCAATATCTAGAGCAGTCCCAGTTCCACCTCCAACTTGTAGGCAAGAAGAATTGACCTTAAGTTAGCAAGGGGAACAGACAACTGACGGTGAAATATACTTAGTGATGCCTGAACCTTTTTTCTTTTTCCTTGAAAAGAGTATAATTTTCCAAATGTAAATTTTGAAAACAGATACTTTTTCTTGGTATATAGCACTTCATAGGGAAATGAAAGTGTTAAAGTAGATGCCCTAGAGCCAATCAATTATTGTAAATTGACTCTTTGTATAATGTTCATTAATCAATAAAAAAGGCATTTTATTCTATATCACGTAAATCATTATTATTTAAAATATGTTTGTATATGTCCTTAGAATGGTAGAACCGTGACGAGGGTATCAAGTGTTTCAAATCTTGATAGTGAGAACCCTATGAGCATATATGGTGGCCATTCAGAAACGTCTGTAGCTCTAGTATTATTCTGAAGTAAGGGCACATATATACGGTAAGGCTATCATAGTGTTGAACAACCCTGTCGAAAGGTAGTGACTAATCTCACTTTGTCAAGGTTGTTTGGTGCCAACCTGGTGCAACACATGGGTACTGTGTGTAGGCGGATATACCGCAGCAAGTTCACTGGACTGACCCACTAGAGATTCCATATGGATGGTAACCTAGTGTCTATGGAACAATCCTCTAACGAATGGTGGTACTGTGATCCTTAGACTTGAGATCATCGGAGCGCCTTGTGCACCAATTGGTGCAGTTTGACACTAGCCTAACGGAGTTCTATTCAGGAGCTATCAATACGTGGTGATTGGTTGCATCAAGGAGTGATCAAGACTATGGTGGATGGACAGAGGATCATTACTCCCGGGTACAAGAGAAGTTATCTCATCTACGGTGTAATTCAATATATGGCAATGACACTAAAACTGTGGCGGCAGTGGATTGAGTTGTTACTCTATCCAGTATATATACAGGTCATTGGTCGCAAACTGAATCACTAATATCGAGAGTAACCAAAGGTTGCCACCTATTTCTATGCCTTCGTCTTGTCGGGATATGTATGATGAAAGGATCGAATTGTACGGTAACCATATCATTGACAGTAGCTACTTTGTTGAATCCATATCATCAGGTGGCCATGATGCCTTGCTAGGGGCCAATCTTGGTGTGTGTATTATGAGACGATTAATTGGTATTAATTGTGATACTATACACTGCCGTAGATGAGGAGCCTATGGGTCACACACATAGAAGATAATTTAAGAGCCGAAGAAGAAAGAAGGGGTGTTTCATCTTTTTAGGCAAAAGGTATTTTGTAATTTCACAGTGCAATTAAATTTGCGGGGGTCTAGCCTTTACTTAATTTGTTAGAAATAATTATAATAAGTGAAATTACGGTTAAATGTGTGTTCGCACATATTTAATTAAATCATCATTATTGTTAAATGTTAATTAAATATTAATTGATTTTAATTGAAGATAATGATGAATTAAATAAATATCTAATTGGGAGTGTTTGGCAACATGGGGTGTTTGGGTTGTAGCCCAAGCTATTCCATATGGGAATAGGTCAACTAAAATAACACTACAAAAAGAATAGTTTTAGTTGAAAAATTGCCAAGAGTTTTCATTATTTCATTTTGATTAAAAAGAGAAAAATACAGCACCCCAAATACTCTCCGACGCCAGTTTTGGTTGTTGCCAAAATCAAATACTTTTTGTTCTTCTTGATTTCTTAAGGCCAAGGAGGATCTAGCAAATCCCTCCTTGGTTCTTGGTGATTGTCTTCGTGTCAACTTCTTGGTTCGATCCTACACTTGGATCTATAGCAAACACGTTTAGAGACAATACTGGTGGAGCCTTCAATGTGGGTATGAATCTAAACTTTAGATTTATTTTTTTCTGCAGATTCTTGATATAATACATGAACTGTAAAATTTGTGCCTTGATTTTGGGCTTTAAGGAACGATCTACGGTTGTATAAATTTTTGTTTTCCGCTGTGCAACCGGGTCATTTCCTTACAGAAAGAACAAAATTTATGAACTATACATAGATGACAAAAAGAAGAAAAAAAGTTTCTAAAATAAACAGGGCATGCATCCCCTTCAGGCACATTTTCTAAAAAGTTTCTAATATATATATTATAAATTCTCACCTTATTGTTGATCTCATCTATGGTATGGAGAATGACTTGCTCAAATTCCTTGTATGCTTCCCATATTTTACTGCCTTCAACATGCAAACCAGCAGCAGTTATAGCACGCTCGAAGAGATTTCTTGCCTTCGCAATACCATCAGGTGAAAATTCACATACAGATGGATATATTCTTTTCATAAATCTCAAGTAGTCAAACCAAAGTGAGACAAACTGCATCAGAACAAGTTCTAGTCATTCAATTTTACAGAATTACTTAGATAAAGGAACTCCAAAGAATGAAATTAATGTTTTTATCCCCTGATTCCACGTATATGCAAAATCTGATTGAAAGTAGCAAGAACTTAATTTTCCACAAAAAGTAGGGAAAAAGATGAAAACATGCAATTAAAACTTCCAAAATGTATTGCCACTTAAAAAAATAGATTAACTACATTAGAGACACACCTGATAAGTTATAGTCTTATCAGATCTGAACTAAAAAAGAATATATATTGAGAAACAGAAACATGTGAAACACTATAAATAAATCAAGATTTATCAGGCCTGGATAATTGAAAAATTCAATGAACGAAGTTAATCAATTACAACATACCATTGTCCAGTAAACTGATTAGCTTGAATATATGAACTTGAGCGGCCACCATTATTGTTGTAGTTGAAGTAAGAACCATTTCACAATTCCTCATATGCAACTTTTGCTTACCGAAATTTACACCAAAAATAATCGTCAAACCCTTACGATCTACTACATGTGCAAATCCAAACACAACTTGCAATGCTGCCACCTCAAATATATGTACTTACAACAGAGATAGATCACGTATCATATGTCTGATCAAGAAAGCTATCATTCTCAATCATCCCCATCACCATCCCTATCAAATTCGAACAGATAAAAGTGTTTACTGAACCTTTTGCATACTGTAACCAGTATAGAGCATTTGGGCAGCCGGATGAACTTTTACAGGATTCTGCTCCAAAAAAAATTTAATCCTCGCTAAAGTTTTATCACGTAAACTTCAATTTCACTTTTGGATCGGAAATTGACGAAGCTCGTTCAAACATTCACTATAATTTTTGGCCTTCATTAGTAACTGCATGACTAAGGACGTTGTACATTTATTCGGATTCACATTTCTCTCCACCATATTATGAAGGAGTTCAACAACTTTTGGTAACTCATTATTCTTGAGGAAACCAAACATAAGCGTAGTAAATGTGACCACATTTGGAGCACAACCTTTTTCCTCCATATATGACAACAACTCATTTACCATTTCTAGTTGTCCATTTTTACACAGCCCATTGATCAAAATGCTATATGTTACAACATTTGGCACTAGGTTTCCATGGAGACAAAACTTCTAAAATAGGTCCCAAGCAGTTCCCAATCTCTCTGTTTTACATAATCCATCAATAAGGGAATTCAAACCTTCAATACTAACTGAAAACTTATTATTTACTAAAGCATTAAACATTTCCACCGCTTCCAAAACACATCCATTCTTGCAAAGTCCATTAATGAAAATGTTGTATGTCCGAGAATTAGAAAAAGCATCGTTAAGTCGCATCTCACCAACTAAATTCTGTGCATCTTTCACCTTAGCTATAAGAAAAAAGCCAGTTAACAAGGTGATATAAGTAATCACAAAAGGCCTAATTCCTTTTGAAATCATCTCTCGATAAAGACTAAGAGCTTCAATGACTTCTTTATTCTTGCAATACCAATTGATTAAAGTATTGTAGCAAACAACATTAGGCCTATACCCCTTTCGAGTTATGGAATCAAACAACTCCCTTGCATCACCAATTCTATTTGCCAAGCAATAACCGTTTATCAAAATGTTGTAGGTATAAATGTTAAGAACCACACCTCTCTGAATCATATGTTCCAACAATAGTTATCTAGCCTTCTCAACCAATCCAGCCTTACAAAGGCCATCAATTATAATACTATAAGTAACAACATTTGGCCTACAAATAACACCATATTCTTTATTCCCATTAACCATCTCTTAAAGCAACTTTCGAAGATGGGTTTTGAGAGATTGAAGATGAACAATGTTTTTGCATATAATCCTAAAAATTAGTGTAAAATTAGAAAACAAGAAAAATATCATTTCTTAGTCTTTATATAGTTTTTAACTTCAAAACAATTTTTAATACCAGATATATTTTCAAATATTTAAAATATTGAGATAAAGCTTTTAAAATTTTTAATTGTAACTTAGTTTTTTAAAATTATTCTTGAATCACAAACCAAACTGGCCCAAATCTCATAAAGAGATTTAAAATACAAAATATATTNAGCGGGTTTACTTACTGAGCAATTAGTGCTCACTTCGTTGTTTTCAATGTTTTTGCAGGTAATAGGTGAGTTGCAGTCACTCGGAACGTCATGCAGTGAAGGGTTGGGCTACACTGTCAAGTTGCTATTTTGAGTATATTTTGAGTATATTTGTGTATAAAGAAAAATGAAATATGGGCCCATACTTTATTACTCATTTATATGTGTATTTTCTTATATATATTTTTAATGAGTTTTACTAATTATTTTACGAGTATACTAGCTAGAAAGAAAGTATTACAGGTCATTTGTCACATAAAAAGGAACTTGATCGCCATCTAGTTGACTAAAATTTCTCTAAATCTTGGGGTAAGGTATTGAGGCTATCCTCATCACAAATTGATGAAATAAGTGTTCCACAGGAAACATATTAGAACTTTACCCTTTTTGAATAAAATGGGTATAAACTTGACATATCTAGAAGAAAATTTACAAGAAGGGTACTGATATATATTTTTCATCCTGAAACAGGTATCGTTTGTCATAATTGTTTTACATAAACATATTGAGGCAAAACCTTATGTTTTTTATAAGAGAGAGAAGTTTGTCAATCACTATGCTATTCTAGTTAACATGCAACATGTAACCACAGAAACAAACCTCACTTCTTAAGGATCATTACTCTGAACTCATTATTTGACTTCGGCTTCCCATCTTCCACTTTCCGGCTTTTGAATTTGTCAAGGGGACACCAAGTGGTATGACGTTCCTTGGCATTGCAAATGTGTTCCTCCCCTTTGGCTGAATGTTATCACTACGCTTATTAGTAGCAGAGTGTGGCGCTTTAGACTCCCTGAAAGTCTGATTACTACTTTGCGTTGCCATTTAACCCAGAGGAGTAACAAAATGAAATGTAGAAGTAATAACAAACGTCTATAGACTGAATTGGACGCAAACAAACACACACAAGTAATAACAAAGATAAAACATAATTCCACTTAGCCTACCATGTTCTCCAGAGGCCCTATGACTAGCAGAATCCTTTCTCTTTTGCTTCGGATTTGATCTTGCAATGCTTATCTTCTTCCCAAGAAACATTTGTTTGTTCTTTCCTACAGCTGCAGCAAGGTGTGCATCATCGGCAAAATCCACATAAGTCAGGCCCTTCAAAAATCGATCAGAGGATATTATAAATTAATATGCAACGGTCCCTGACAGCTGCTCTACATTTAAAGGCAAGCTGGAATATGGGTAAATCTGTATAGGACTATGGTTGAGTCTCCTAAGCATATCACTTGCTATCAAAATGAAAAAAATATGCTCTTAGACAGTTAGACTCTTTATACTTAGAAAATTCAGCAATTTTACCATAATTATGGAATTCAACCCTTCTGCAAGNAATAAAAAAAGTACAATGCTTCATTCAGAGTAAAGCTACCTGATCGACAATTTTCTTCGAGGAATTTAGCAAGTGAGGATCGTTCAAGGGGTTTTTTGAAAGAATACAAAACTTCATTTTTGGAGCTTGAAGATGTGAGGTTGTGTAAGTGAGCTAACAAAAATAAAACATTAACTTTCGAAGATGGGTTTTGAGTGATTGAAGATGAACAAAATGGGGATCTAAATCTCAAAGCCATGTATGAATTGAAAAGTGTTTTTGTGGGTCGTTTTTTCTGAAGTAAGGTCATTGCAAAAGGCAAATGCATTAAGAGAAATGTTTTGACAAATTTCACAAACAAGCTTTAAGGTTTTCAAAATTGCAAACTGATGTCAAGTATCGATCTTTCTTATTCAAACCACCTTTATGATTTCGAAAATTGAAGGTTAAAAAATGTAAATCCACGTTTAGGTGTTTTTTTCGGTTTAAGGTGGTTTTCTACTAAATCCAAAATTATCCAGTTGATCAAACAAACCAATTTAAATAAGTATTCAATTTTACCTTTTTTTAGTACTATTGAACTTTGTATTTAATTTACAATGATATATAAATTTTTTTTTTTTTCTACTTGTTCTTCAAACTTTTAAATATACCAAAATCGATATTATTTACTAAAGTATGAAACATTTCCACTTCTTCCCAAACATATCCATTCTTTCAAAGTCTATCAATGAAACTGCAAGTTAACAAATTGTCATTTATAATCACATTAGGCCTAATTCCTTCTAAAATCTTCTCTTGATAAAGATTAAGAACTTTGTTGACTTCTTTATTCTTGCAATACCATTTGNATCTATTGACCTCTACTCCCATCTGTTACAACGAGGCCGAAACTGAGATCATGACGACTTGAGAGAATTAGGAATGCACTGTGCTGGTTGCTTATTACAACTCATCTCTTGAGACTTCTTCCTTTGTGTGATGAACATAAGATCCATAAGCTTTAATTATGGATTCGTAAATGTCAATCTCTTTCAAGTTTTTAGCTTGGTTTAGAAACTGCAACAAGGTGAAAATAAGGCCGTCAGATCACAAGCATTTGGCATGAATATTGGGCTTAAGATTTATCACACCAAAAAATAGGTTTGTTGGCTATGTCATGTTTAGCAGCACATAAAGCTAGTCAGGATGAAAAGAAAAGAAAAGAGAGAGATTGAATTTGCAAACGCCACAGAGCAAAAACGCCCCAAGGCACACCATTACAATCAAGTAAGGACGGGACTGGTAGAATTTACATTCTATGGTAGTAAAGTTTACTTGAATTTAGTTTGTCCAATATTATGGCAGCAAGAGACATACCATTAATTATCCATATCACTGTCCAACAAAACTCAAGCAGGGGATCCCAATTCCAAACAAGGTTTTTCATTTTCATGAATAAAACCCATAGACAGACACATAGAAACTATAAAATCAACTGAATGTTAAAACTGAAAACAATGGATATCACCTCATTATGGTCATGAAGCAAACTCGGGGTGAAATTGTTGATAAAGTTTTAGGTTGAAACCAAAAGGTGGTCACTGCAAATAAAGTCGGTACATCTTAAACCAGCGGCTGCTCACTAGAAAAAGACCAAACATACAGCGGTTATGGTCCCATTTCCAAAACCAACGGACACTCACAAAAATAACCAAGCACATGGGGCCTTTAAAAAAGAAAAAAAAAACCTTCTCATTAGGCAAAGAAGATTTAAATTTAAGAATTATATGTATACATACCCAGTTTGAGTTTCAGTTGAACATAAATGGACAATTCAGTTGTTCCAAGTTTC